TGGGCAAAGAATTTAAAAAGTCGACCAAGGAAATATGAATTATGAAATGTGTGTGCTGGTGTCATGCCATCACTAAATTACTGCTAGGAGTTACTAAAATGGCAGCTGGTGGTATTCTGACAGGTGTTTGTGATATTAGGTGAGTGAGATTCGACTTCATAAATGAATAATTTTGATTTGGATGATAAATGCGAATGATTTGGTTTTGGTTCATGATGTTGGAAGATAGTTACTAGATTGCACTTCTCTTTAATGCGGAGCATCTAATGCGAGATTTAGTCTGGTTAAACTGTCATTTCTAACATTCTAAACAAAACTACTGGTAACCGAATTCCAGCCATTTAGCATTTATATACATTTATTGGCAGGATCCAAACAAGGTTTCTTACTTAAATGTGATCGTTTTAGAAAACAGGAAATCCATAAAGTTTTTTTAAATCACCCTAAAAAAAAGTTAGAATGTTTTTTCCGGGTTTAGAGTGAGTCTCTGGCTCTTTCATAGATGTTAGTATCTAGGTGACTCATTCATGTGTGTTAGTCTTCTACAGTAATGAGGGAATTGTTCCAGTCTGCTGGCAAAACCCTCCATTTACTGGTCTGTGGTCCAAACCTCACCTGTGGTAAATACATTGGATTGTGACCAGTGGTGGCTGGTGAAAAATATTCTTGGGTGGGTTGTATGTGAAATGTTTCCCATCTTAATCAAGAACACATATTAAAACGAACAGTTAAAAAATTGACTACAATTCATACAATCATTAATTTCCGTCCTCCAAATTAACTGTGTTACAGATTAAGTAAATTTTCTAATTTACAGAAAAATTAGACTGTAATAATAATAATACTGAAATAAATACACAAGCCTACCGTGTACACCTTTTATAACTACTGCAATCGATAATTTCCACTTTTTTTATTTCCATTTGATTTTCAATTAAAGTTTTATTTGTTTTCCAGCTTGAGTTTTCAGTCTACAGCATCCTGTGTGTCTCAGTTATTCATCTGCTCAAAGCTGCACACCTCATAAAACTTAACACAACATAATCAATTAATTAGATATCCTGTTTTAAGCACTTTTTTCAGTTTAGTCATATTTTTCATTTTTCACTTTAGTCACAGATTTTTAATCTTCTTTTGAGTTGAAATAAGAAGGCAGCTACTTTATTTGTGAATGTCTTAATCTGACAGATTGGGGTGAGGTTTAACAAATTTTTCTTCACCTCACTCCATTTTGAGCATTTTTGTTTACGTGATTTAGTTATTTTAGATTAAATTTAGACCCAGTAGGGCTGATATCTTATTTTGTAATTTCTGTTATAATTGTTTAGTTTAAAGCACATTACTGGCTCAAAATTAGAATTAAATTAAATGAATAATCCTATAAAATTAAAACAAATAAACACATCTTACAAGAGCCACAGATGTAACAGCTGTATATTAAACCAGCAGCGAGTGTGTGAGAATGAGGAAATGACTGAGAAGGAAAATGAGATCCAGTGTCTTCTATCTTACTAGCTTGCTGTTTTCTGTAGCAGGGACCCTGTCAGCCAGTGCCCCAAAGGCATTCAATTCATGGATGCTGATTGGCCTAAAAATCTCCAGTTCTCCCTAGCAACCAAATATGATTGGGTGTTAAGCTTTAGCTTAAGGGCACTTTTCCCAGCCCCAGGAGTTAAACTAGTGAGTTTGGTGGAGGAAAATCACTGTTTAATGACAGACAGCTGGTTAAAATGATGTGTTAATAATTCAGATTGCATGTACTCACACACAGTTAAGCAAATCTGACACATGTATAGTAAATATAGAAATATATATTGTAATTTTATATATTTTTAGATGTTTTTCTTCCTTTAAGTTAGGGAGGGCAGCACCCCCCTGTGGACAAGCTGAGTGTGACCAAAACAAATTCCGGGTATTGTTTCTGTCAAATGGAAAAAGCTTTGAGTGAAGAAGTGAGTCAGGCATCCATCTAGGGTTTCTCCTGGTCACATTTCTCTGGAGGTATTCAATGCACACCTCACTGGCAGGAGAACCCTGGGCAGACCTGCTGTAAGACTTCATATCCTCTCTTTCCAGGGAACACTTCAGGATCAAGGTGTCATTGAAAAGAGGCTTACTTTCTGTTACCTTATGACCCAACCTTGGATGAGTGGATGAAAATGGATAAATGGATGACAAATTTTTGGCCACTAACTAACAAAGGTTAGGACTTCTACGTTTTAACAGAAAACACAGAATTTTCTGAACAGGATATGTGCAACTGTAAAGTGCATTTTTGTTGTCTCGTGACCAGAAAGACCTCCGAGTTGATTCAGAAAAAGATTTATCACAGAAAGGTTTTCAGGCTCAGCATAGCCTCCCTCAGATGAGGAGATGTGGATTTTCTTGATGCCCTTTTTTTACCCAGGAGAAGTGGCTCAGAGTTTTCACATCATCTGCAGCCTTGAAACAACTGGCTCAGCTTCTGCACCCTTATGTCTAAATCCTCCACCCATGCCATTACAGATGACACGCACACCACTAAGATGCAGCGCTGTCAAGCCCACACACCTCCGTTCTATTCTTAGTCAGCCATATCAGCACGGTTCCTGAGATTTCTGTCTCTACTGCTGTTGTCTTTGGAAAATCAAAGAGGTCCACCCTGCACCTACTCCGTAGCGCTCTCTGGATTAGTAGTCCCCTGTCACTTTCTCTATTTCAGTTGAAATGTCCCTTGTGGGCCTTGTTGGAAACACAGAAACATTTAAGGTCTCTCTAACAGGGCAGCATTGCTGCTCAGTCCTCTGCCCTGCAACCACGTCTTCCTTCACAGGGAGACAAGAGAGGCAAGCTCCCTTTCTATCTGAGTCTCCCTCAAAGAGCTGCATTCTAATGTTGACATCCCTTTGCTCACGTCTGTTCAGACAGCAGTGTGGGACTGGTGCGCTCTCTCTCCACCTCCTCCCCCTGAAAACCACAGTAGCCTGCGAGGGAGGATTAACGCCACCGCTGCCGCTGCTGCCTGCTGCTCCCCGACTGTACCGTCTCACTCGAGAGATACTGGTGTGATATGCTGCACTGGAATAATGTTTAAAACGTGCTGGAAGTAAAATATCTAACTATACCACCATGTTTCACAAGTGCAACAACAAAAATGAAATGACTGAAAATATTTTCAGTCTGTTTTGCCATTGAGGTGAGCGTGGTTTGAGAAAAGTAGTGGAGTAGTGGTGGCTCTTTTCAGCCTATACAGGGATTTGCCATTACTCCAGTTGTCATTTGTTTGTCCTACCAAATCTTTATCAATTGCATTTATCTATTGAAATAGAAAAGGCGCCATCTCCTTCCACCACATTACATCGAGGTTTTATTAAAGCTGTCCTTGGAACTGCAAGCAGCCCGATTTATACACAGAAAGCTTTAAATGAAAGCGGTGCTGTTTTTGAAAACGTACAACAAACCGGCGAATAAACGCAGAGCACTGCAGTACTTCAGAAGTCACATTTGGACTTTTGATCATCCTAAAAACCAGGCTAGCATGCCAAGGTCTCTCTGACACTTTCCATTATTTGAGGGTGAACCGGTAGTGTGAGAACTAAGAAACCTTCTACAGAGGATTTTAACAGTTTTCTCTAAACCTAGCTTTACAACAGTTTGTGCTTTTTTTTTCTTTCTCTTTTGACACAATTCCCATTACAGGTGCAACGACTTTGTGGCACTTTTAGTTTTTATCCCTCAGAAAAAAAATCTGAACTATCTTCTAGTCTTTCTGCTCTTTGTATGTAGTTGGCTACATATAAATGAAATTATTTGAAATTAGAAAAACATGCAGCTGTTTAAGCGTTCATCAGGTCTGAGTCACTCTGTGGCACAAGGTATTCTTAGACGGGGGAAACGTTGTGCTGTTGGCTGGCGTGTGAGGTTGTTGAGGTCACAGCAATGTGACTGGTTCTTGATGAGCTTCTGTGTTGATGGAGGCAAACCTATCGGCTGTTAGATGACATTTGTAAGCAGACAGGAGTCATCCCTCAGGTTTTCATGAGCTTTGTATTGATCACCGCTGGAATGACCTTGTGGTCAACACTCTGAGTCCACTGGCTGACATTGGTAGTGTAGGTAAGGGGTCTATGTTGTCTACAGCCTCTAATGATGGTCAAATTAGGATTTTCACACCCTGATGAGAAAACTGTATTACTGTCAAATTTTTACTTTTCCCCATATCACTCAAAAAAAGTCCCTGAGGTTAAAAGTTAGGTGTTAAAGGGACACTATGCAGTGTTGGCTTGCTTTTATCACCCCCTGGTGTCTGGAAAGAAAAGCCTATCTCCTCGCTGTTTGTTCATCTTTTTAACACCTTAATTTAACCACTGAAATGTCTCCCCAGCCTTCCTTAATGTCTACATGAGTGATTCATCACCAAATTGAACAAATGGGCTGTGTTCATGATCTAAAACATGGAGGAAATGTGCCAGGTATATCAGCCATGTCCAACAGAATGCAGCTGTGAAGTTGCAAATGCAGTATTCTGGCCACAGGGGGCGATAGGGGCTAGGTGGCCTTTCATTAACCCTGTACTGGTTCAAGAAAATGAATTAAAAATATGAAAAATTTGCAAAGTATCTCTTCAATTTAACTGCTAAAATGTTTCCTCAGCCTTTCTTAGTATCTACAGGAGAGGTTCATCATTAAATCAAACAAATCAGCATTGTTCATGATCTAAAACATGCAGGAAAGGTGCTGGAAGCAGACTCCAGCGCTAGACATGTCAGCTCTACTTACCAAGTCCAACAGGGACCAGACTGACACTCTGAAGTTGCAAGTGTGGTATCTGAGTGACATTTCATTTAACCTGTAAAGGGACATTTTAGCCCATACTGACTCAACTTCATGATTTTAAAATATAAAAAAGTTGCATAGTATGGCTTTAAGTCAAAGCATATACATTACGACTTGCATAAAATAGAGAATCTATTAAAAATGTAGAAAATCTGACCACTTATTGAGTTGTTTTGCTGTTTCAGCTCAAGAGCAGAGTTTTGGAGAACAGTTCCTTCATCTGTTCCTTCAAGATGGAATCCCTGTTGCTAAACTCGCTTGCGGTGGCAGCCATGTTTTGAACGCAGCTGCTGGCAATAGTGTCAACAATAACAGATGGATGCCAATCAAAATCCGGTATAGTATTTCTTTTCTGTCTGTTGCAGAAGTAAATGCCTCTTACAAGATTTTTAAACACATAAAACATGATGTTCATGTCGTTGTTGGCGTGTGAAACAGGTTTTCTTTAACCGTGACACTTTCAAAACACCCATATGTGTTATGAGGCATACCATTAATAATGTTTCCCTTCATTTAACTGTGGCTGTACAACCATATACACAGCAAGCCTTTGAGTGACTTTACCAGTTAGACTTTCAACATCTCATCTATTGGATTAGACATTTAATGCACACGCATAAAATACCCCGTCTCTCTGTTTCCAGATCACTTCCCAAATGATCATCTTGAACTAACATTTTCCATTTCAGCATGCACCTTTCATGCAATCTGTTTCTTCATCTCAAAAAAGCAAATTCAGATTTGAAGATTTATCAGCCCTTTGGAAGACTCTGTCATCCTGTCTCTCCTCAGCAGTGACGACCCTGAACATGGATCAGTGGTCAAGGATCTTGCTGATTGGTGTCAGCTTAACCTTTTAAAGATGAATGTTTCTAAAACTAAAGAGATGATCATTGATTTTAGAAAAAGCAGCAATGTCAACCAGCCTGTGCTCATCTCTGACGGAGACTTACAAACAGTAAACTGGTGTAAATAAGGACGGGAAAAAACTTCAGATTGTATTGTGATTTTAAAAAACACATGAATTTTCAACAGAGGACTTGAATAAAACTTTGTTATGCTGTACTCTTACCATCTGGTTTACAAAGAACCCATTGCATTTTTTTGTGTCGAAGGCAGGAAATTACATTTTTTGAGTCAAATCAGCAGATTTTTGCTAAATGAAACGATCATAACTGTGGAGACAGTAAACAACTGCTCAGAAATTCAAATAAATGTCCAACTCACCTTTCTAAGCCTTCTCAAACAGAAAATATCTTCTACATCCACAAACTGATGTTCTCCAATAAAATAGTTTGTCCACAAGTTTTACATCCACAATCCAACACAATATACCATTGAAAACCTTCAAAACTCCCTTCAGATTAATCTATTTTGTCAAATGTTTTCATCTTAACCTCCGTTTGCATCCTCATTATGGATGCTCTGATCAGGTTTTTGCTGCTCATCACCAAGAGTGCAGATCACCCATACCAATCACTGGGATTGGACATACATTTTCTATGTAGTTATAATGAGTGGTGCAGAATACATTATCTGGGAAAAAAGGAACATTAGGTTACTGTCGTAACCCCGGTTCTCTGAGTAACATGAGTGAGATGTCTCACTATGGGATACGCCCCTCCGCGGATTCCTCAGAAGCACTTATCTCAATACGCCAATCCTGATTAGCCAGCGACCGTGACGTACGCGTCACCTGCTACTATAAGTAGCAAGCATCCCAATGCACACATCATTCAAGATAAACACCTCTTCTTGCTTCACCCAGCAAGAAGGGTTGTCTGGTGAGACATCTCACTCATGTGTGGGTCATAGCAAGGACAGAGACAGCAAGCTTATAGAAGTGTGCAAATGCAAGTGGAGAAGCCCAACATGCTGCAGCACTAATCTCCTGGACAGACAGCCCTCGGAAAAGGGCCCAAGAAGCAGACAGGCCCGTAGTAGAATGGGCCCTGAGCCCTACAGGTGCCTGAATGCCCTGACAGGAGTAAGCCAGAGAAATAGCCTCCACAATCCAGTGGGAAAGCCATTGCTCTGTGATGGGTTTTCCCTTACAAGGTCCTCCCCAAGACACAAAAAGCTGGTCCCCCCTGCAAAAGTTCCCTGTCCGATTAACATACTCCTTGAGCGCGCAAATTGGACACAGCTTGTGCAACCACTCCTCCTCAGGAGAGGAGAAGGGTGGTGGGTAGAAAGCTGTGAGGATAATGGGAGAAAAGGAGCCCACCACCTTAGGCACAAAGGCAGGGTTGGACTTCAGGGACACCCTCATGTCACCTGGTGCAAACTGGATGCAGGATGGGTGCACAGAGACAGCCTGTAAGTCACTAACTCGCTTTGCAGATACCAAAGCCAGGAGTAGCACCACCTTAAGAGACAGGATCTTAAGGTCCAGGCCATCCATAGGCTCAAAGGTAGGCCCGGAGAGGGCCTTCAGCACCAAGGACAGATCCCATGAGGGCACCAGGGGTCGAGACACAGGGAGAAGCCTGTGCGCACTCCTCATGAAGCTACACACCAGTGGGTGTTGACCTGCCAATTTCTTCCCAAAACCCGAGTGTCAGGTGGAAATGGCTGCTAGGTACACTTTAATGGTGGAGAAAGCCTTCTTCCCATCCAGCAATTCTTGCAGGAAAGACAGAATGACGTTCACCGGGCATTGGACGGGTGAGACTTCCCTGCCCTGGCACCAGGCTTCAAACACCCTGCATTTACAGTCATAAAGGGACCTAGTGGAGGGGGCCCTAGCATTCTGAATGGTTCTAATGACCGCCTAGCACAGCTCTATTGACCCTAACCCGCACCCGTCAGGGGCCAGGCCAACAGGGCCAGTCGTTCTGGATGAGGATGGAAGATTGAGCCGCCAGCTTGAGACACAAGTTCCCTGCGAGGCGGCAATTTCCAAGATTGGCCCTCCAGGAGCTGGAAAATGTCCGCCAATCAATGCATGGCTAGCCAGTATGGGGCCACCAGAATGAGTGTGTGGCGCTGAGCTTGTACCCTCAGCAAGGTGGGTGATATCAGGGCCACTGGGGGAAAAGCGTAAAACAGTTCCCGTGGCCAGTCGTGCGCCAGCGAGTCCACGCCGAGTGGAGCGTCTTGGTCGCGCAGGGAGAAAAACAGTGGACACTGAGCATTCTTCTTGGAGACAAAAAGATCCACTATGGCTTTGCCGAATCAGAACTAAATCTGTTCCAACACTGCTGGATGCAGGCTCCAATCCCTGTACAGGGGGATCCCTCTGGACAACAAATTCGGAACACCCGGGATGTTGGTGGCTCTGATCAAGAGAAAATGTCTGCTGCACCATAGGATCAGTCTGCGTGCCAGCATGTGTAACCGCATGGAGTGCAGCCCCTCCCCCCCAGGTGGTTTATATAAGCCACAGTCGTGGTGTTGTCTGTTCTCACTAGGACATGATGGCCGGAGAGAAATGGCAGGAGCGCCGCGCCGCTACGCACGCTGCAGAGACCGTCACCCTGCGTGCTCTGTGGCACACTGGAGAAACTCCCAAAGAAGCCACCCAGCATTGAAAATCTCTCATGTGCAGACAGCCAAGTGGTACCACTGAAATTGCCGTCGCCATGAGACCCAGAGGTCTGAGGCACAATGCAAACGGTACCGAACTGTGTAGGCGGAAGCGCGCCAGGCAGAACAAGAGCGCGTTCACACGCGATGTCGAGAGACCTGGACTCAGGGGCGTTCACGGCGAGGGAAACTGCTCATTGTGCCCCAAACCTATGGTGAAGGTCAGGACAGAAGGACAGTAAGTTAGCATTTGGCGTCGGAGGGAAAATATTAGCTGGCTCCATCTGTGAACAGTTGAGCTAACTTACATGAGAGATAAGCAACCACCGAAGCGAGAAGAGGTGATTGAATAATGCGTGCGTTGGGACGCTTGCTACTTATAGTAGCAGGTGACTCGTACGTCACGGTCACTGGCCTATCAGGACTGCCATAATGAGATAAGTGCTTCTGAGGAATCCGCGGAGGGGCGTATCTCATAGTGAGACATCGAAATAATAATAATAATAATAATAATAATATTATTATTATTTTTATTATTATTATTATTATTATTATTATAAATTGTATCTGTAGCACCTTTCCGGACTCTCAAGGTCGCTTTTACAGAAATTGCATAACACAGATAAAACATTCCTCAGCAAGTTAAAATCACAAATCAATCAATCAATCAATCAATTAAACAAATACAAGTTAAAAGTGAAAATCAGTAAGTGCTAAAATACTAGACTAAAAGTCAAAAATAAATATATTAACAAATACATCAAGTAACCAGTCAATATAACGTTATCATAAAGATATACATTACCCATTAAAATCTACATAGTACAGCTGAATTACATACACAATCAACTAAAATCTAATGAGGCATTCAGAAAGTCCTGTCTGAACAAATTAGTTTTCAGTAATGATTTGAACGGAGTGATAGACCTGGCCATACGGATGTCTAAGGGGATGCTATTCCATAACCGCGGAGCCTGTGAGCTGAAAGACTTGAGGCCCATCGAGGATAGATGGACTTGAGGAGTAGCAAGTAAATTATGGGAAGTTGAACTAAGTGATCGTGATGGTGTGTACAAATTCAATAGGTCATGTAAATAATTAGGAGCCATGTTATTTAAAGTTTTGAATGTCAAGAGTAATATTTTGAAATCAGTGCGGTAGCATACTGGGAGCCAATGAAGCTCCTCAAGAATCGGAGTAATATGTTGAGAAAAAGGTGTCCGAGTAATTGTGCGCGCTGCTGCATTCTGCACTAACTGAAGTTTGTGAAGAAGTTTCTGAGGTAAGCCCGTGAGTAAGGCATTACAGTAATCCAAACGTGATAAAACCAGGGCATTTACAAGAATATTCGCGTCATTTATTGTCAAGGAAGAACGTAATTGATTGATGTTCGCGGATGAAACAACGCAGACTTAACCGATCCATTTACATGGGTATTGAAGGAGAGCGTGTCATCCAAACATCACGTTAAATGGTCTGTATTGATTTAGTCAAAAACATGTTTTCACTTTTTCAAGAGAGAAAAAAGACTTCTGACTACAACTTCTAAGCATCCTACTCACAACCCAAATTTTAGAACTGAAGAAGACTCTTGGGTGAGAGGCAAAACTTCTTCAGGATAACCAGAAAAGTCCAGCTGTTTTCAATTAAAACTCAAAGTGATGATGCTCAGGGTGGCTGAGATTCTACACCAGCATGCTGCACAAAGCAGCAATGATTCAGTCAAAAGGCAAGCTGAAACACTTAAATGTAGCTGCTATCAGTAACAATCTAACAGATTTCAACCAACAACAGTTTAAATAGTTCAG